CTTTCGCTGGCCGCGCTCCGCTCGCAGAGTGTCGACGCGGCTCTCCAAGGCCCTTGCATCCTTACCGCGCGTCCTTATTCTACGGGTTAGCTGTACTATTTGGTAGGGGGAAGAGCTCAGGTCAGAGTCGAATGCTGCCACTTGGCATGGTTAATTCCAGCCTGAGGCCAAGGGCAGTTTTGATCTAGCGGGCAAAGAGAGGTACAGCCTCATGTGTTCCGCCATTGTGGGGGCGTTTGTCCGAGAGCGGCGGGAAAGTTTCCCTCCATACGGTGGCGGGTGAGGATATGCCCAGTGTTTATCACGTATGTGTTAGTCTATTGTTTTCAGGGTTGGGCAACCTGGGGGGTCGCGGAATCGCTGAATTGTATGTCCGTGACCTCTCTTGGCTCAAGCGAAAGCCCGAACCAGGTGATCGATTGATTGGGAGCAGGGGTGGTCTCGTACCGTAGTCGCTGTCCCGCCGCTTCGCAGTGCCCCGACTGCCCGCCATACAACTGCCAGCTCACGTGCCCCGCGGTGCCGAGCTGTCATGCGTGTCCCGGCGCGCTCCTGGGGTTCATCGTTTCTGCGGTTGTCATTGGGTTGACCCTGGCCATCGGCCGCATCGGCACGTGAGCAGCCATGGCGGCCGGCCCCGCCCAGCTCTGGGCCTTGGTGTTCCACATCGGCGATCGCGGCTAACATTAGCGACGGATCCTGGGCTGCTTGCAGCCGCCGGGGGCGACGCCAGTGAATGATCTGCTTTTGGTGTGCGTGACGCCCGACGTGGACGTCTACTTCGAATTGCTGGACGGGACCAGCGCCGACTACCAGTCTGTGCGTTTCTTGGCGGACAGGCGGACCATCCCGCCTGGCACCGATGGTGGCGACAGTTACCGTTTCCGCCGGGACCCGACGGCGGCCGAGCTCGCCGCTTTCGTGGGCCAGGCGCATCAGGCTGCCGACGACCTCAACGTGCAGCAGGCCGCGGTCGCGGACCTCCATGCAGTGGTTTCGCTTGTAGGTGCGCTGATCCCGTTTGCCGCTCCACCCCAACTGGGGCCCCGTGCCGCGGGTGCCGTGGCCCCTGCGCCTGCTGCCGCCGCCGCGGCTCTGGCTGGTCCCGGCGCCGGACCGCCAGCCGCAGCGCAGTGGGTGACCGTCGAGTCGAGTCGACGATATTCCGGAACCCGAGGCACGCCAGTGACTTCTGGCGGCGACCGACATCGCCCAGGGCGAAGTTGGCACTCTCGTGCTGCAGGCGAACCCGGTCGACATGTGCCTGGCGCTCGCCTGAACAAGGCCACGGTCCTGGTCAACAAGGCCCGCCCCCGAGGCCGCTTCACGAGCAACGCGGTCGAGCTGCGCCAGTCCACCTTCCCCGATTGGCTTGCGCTTGTCCCTCGCGCAATGAAGTGACGTCGCGAGTGGCACCGCCAGGACAGTCCCACGGAACACCGTTCGATGGTGATTGCGTTGGGGCTGAAGGACGGAGATTTGGGGAGTGGAGGTGCACCGCACGGCCATTGGCTGCCTCGACGAGGGGTTATGCTACGACCTCGTCGTCGTGAGCAACAGCGCCTCCTCGGAGCTCCTCGCGCGCAAAGCACAGCTGGTGGAATACGTGTACCAACCGCGTAAACTTCTTTGCCGCGAGGGGCACGATCATCAAGGGCAAAGGCAATTCGACGAGGGCGCTATCTTCTTGGGAATAACCGATGAGTCTGGCATGGCCGTTGTCTGGGCAGACGAGACACCCCTCCCATACCACCCCTCCTCACCGCCCCACCCCATCAAAATCCTCGGCTGGAACCCGTTCACGATGGAGGGCACGGGCAGGATGGAGGAGGTACCAGACGGATTTCGGTGTTATCATGTCCTCATGTTCTCGGGCACCAAGATACGAGCACGAGCGCGAGCACAGCGCCATCGCGAACGCACTGGGAAACGTATCTGGGGGCACTTCGGACGGGGCCGCGGTGGCATGGAAAATTCGTCGCCGGGGTGCGCCGTTGCACGCAGGACAAGTCGCTTCCGACTCCAGGACCCGGTTCGCGCTGCGATCCCCACGCAGCCGAGCTCCGCGGGCGCAGCCCAGGGGAGCTTCGGGGCACGGCTCGCGGTCGCCCATTTCTTTTTCGGCCGAGAGAGGGGGTGCCTAGAAGATTGCGCATTGGCACCGAGTTCATCGACGATTGCGGGAGGGGGTTTTGGACGAAGCCACCGATGTTTTGGCGCGCATGGCACCCATCATACTAGGTGATTCAAATATCCTTCTGGGCAGTCGAAACGGCACGCTCGCCGCCGAGCGAGTTCGAATTTGCCGCCCCGAGCGCGTTTTATGATTTGGGTTGCAGTTCCCATGGGCCCCGGGGCCCGCGATCTAGGATCGAGTATTCATCGCGCCGCGCCCTTTAACTTTCAGCCGTCGCGCGCGCGTGTTGGCGCAGTCACAGGCGCCCCCGAGTACTTGCGCATATATTGGCCAAGTCTTCACGGCGATGGGGACCACCGTCGCTGTTCCCCCGCCTCCTCTAAAACGGGAATACTGCGCGGGCGATTGGGGCCTCTTGGCGGCGGGCTTTCGGATTGGGCACGCGCGGCGCGATTTCCCCCGCGGCCTGCGCGACGCGCCAGCGCGAGCGACCCCCGTCCTTGCGCCAACGATTGAAGACGAGGAACCCGCGCGACACGCAACGGCGGCAAGTCACGCGATCCGCGCGCGTGCACAAACACACTATTCGAAGGAGTTCTCTACGCCAGTGGATCAAGGGCGCGCGATCGCGACGTCTAGAGCAGTCGGGCGAGCGCGCGCGACATAGCGAGCAGCGCGCGCGAGTGGATGATCTCGAGATCCAAGCCCTCGCTGGGGCCATCAAGCGCGTTCACTGGAAAAACGAGTGATGGCTGCATTCTTTTGGGCAGCAGCCCCGGGGCGCATGCGCCGCCAGACGGCGCGGGTCGCCATGCTTGTCCGCTTTCGCGCTGGCGCGCGCACTGGCGCGCGCAGGACCCCCCCCCCCCAGCGTCCCAGAGAAGCTGCGACAGACCACGGCGGCCGTCCGGGTACCATTTTACGCGTCAGGGACCGCGCGCTGCCCATTTCATCCGCCCGAGCGGCAGAGGTTTCTGACGCCATAAGGCAATTGCCGCATGAACGGTTGGGGCACGCCCAAACAGGTTCGACACCCACACAGCCCGGAACAGAGTTGTAACAAAATCCACGAAACGATCATAGCGAATGATCTGCAGACGGCAACGCCCAAAGAGGATTTTTAAGTGATATTCGCCTTTCAACGTTGGCAGCGCGCGCAGGCGCGCACCACGGGCCAGGCCATTGATGCGCCGCGCTTTGGCTTGCGCGCCCAGTGGCAACATTGGGGGGCGGGCGCCACTGAATGCCCGGATGCTCTTCCAAGTTTCTCTTTCACAGGGCCGCCGGCGCGGGCGGTTCCACACTCTGCCTCGCGGTTTCGCCCCCGCCAGTTGGATGGCCAACGCGCGGCGCGCAATGCAGACGGTGCGTTTTCCCGTAGCATTGACAAGCGGATGTCGCTTGATGCGACGGGCCCCTCCCGGCATTATTCAACATCTGTTGGCCCCCACCCCTGCTCCACTTTTGCTATGAACTGTTTCACGGGGAGCTAGTGCTACGCAGTAAGTAACTCGGCCCACCGCCCAAAAGCTGAGAACGCAAAGCAACCACTTACAACGCTTGCGAACATCTCATTTCACTTGCGTCACGCACGCCCGAACACAAGTAATTTCAGCCCAGCCGCACCTGGTCCTCAACTAGCATAAAAAAGCGCCAGCCTCTAAACGGTGGGGAAGGGATCAAACGGAAGGGGCTTCCTTCGACTGGCTCAACTATAACGCTTTTCTTGGCCGCCAAACCGCCAGAGGAGGAGTCGGATCTGCCCCGGGCCCCCCCCCTGGACCCCCCTTGGGAGGCCGCCCCAAGGAATCCCCCCCTCTGGCGGGGAAATGATCAAGGGGACGGGGGTTCCCTTCGACTCAACTAGCACATTGCTGAGATTCGACAGCCTCTTCCACGCGCCGACAGAATCGGCGGATTTGGTCAGTTGTGGTCATCCGCTTTGGGGGTCGCGGCATCGCTGATTCGCATATCCGTGACCTCTCTTTTTTTCAAGCGCCCTCCTTAGTACCTTCTCTGCGGACCTGCAGAAAGACGCGGAGATGTCGCAGCGCTGCGCCTGTGGAGCCCCCTTTTCGGCTTCGCGTGTTTTCGCAGCCAGGTTGCCAGGCACTCTGCTCCCGCGATTGGCGTTTTGGCAGCATCCCGGCCTTCGAGGCAGACAAAGCTCACATAAACTTTCGAGCCTCCTGGGGGCCGGCCCCCTCGACGCCGGAAAACATATAATATTGTGCCGTTCTTTCCCCGCTGATGCAGACAGCCAGCCCGCATAGCAAGGATAAACAGCATTCCGTCGTTACCCTTGCATCCTTGCCCCTTTCGGTCCATCCTCAGCGACCTTCGCTGGCCGACCTCGTTCGTCAAACGTTAACATGTCCCTCCAAGGCCCTTTGCATCCTCACCGCGCATCCTTGTTACACGGGTTCACTGTAGGTTTTAAGTTGTTAAAACCACTTCCCCAGGGACTGCACGGGCTGCCGAGAAGTGCTCAACACGCAACCTTGGACCACCGACCGCCGAGGGGGCTAGTTTGATTCGGAACAGTCATGGTAGTTTCCGCTGACCCTTGTCATCGCCCGAAGGATCCAGCAATCAGCGCGGTGTCCTTCCACGCCAGATCGCACGTCATCTAAGAACCGCGGTTGAGGGGCGTATTTGTAGACAGTCTCCAGAATCAGATCTTCTGTCCCGAATCGGCAAGGTTACTCTTCCATGTGTTGGCTTGTCCGAGCCAGCTGCCTAACTCTCGGCGCCCGGAGAGGGCCGCCGAGGCTTGAACCATACGCCGATCCGCAGCAAGATCGTCCCAAAAGATTTGCTTGCAGCAGTGGGCCTTCGCCTGCGCGCAAGAGTGTCCGCGCGCAGGTTCCTTTTTGGCTCAAGGCCGCATCCGCCCAGAGGCCATCTGCACGTGCGTGCCTGGGGCGGCGTCGGCGTGGACGCCCCACGGATCCCCCAACTTGGCCACCGGAGGGGGTCCGCGGGGCCTCCACTGCAGGGGGCCCGCGCCAGGCGCATTCCAGCCTGACACTGAAACATAGTTGGCGGGGCCCCAGGCGGCGTGGCGACCACACCGCGTGGTGAGCCATTGGGGATTCGGGGTGGCCTCGACTAGAGTGTGACCTTGCGCAGAAGTGACCTTTGGTGCGGGCCCACTGGGGTCCCCTGATCGCCAACCGCGAGGCGGCAGTAACGTCTTGCGCGCTTGTGTTTTGCCCCCCCGCGGCCCCAAAGAAGCCGCGCACCAAAAGGTCAATCTTACCCAGGATCACTCATTCGTGTAGCCGATGACCGCGCAGTTTGAGACTCGGGTCGTTCTCCGAGGACGCCTCGGGCGACCGGGGCCTCTAGGTTCCCCCGTGCGGGTGCAAGGGGAGGCGGCCCATCTTTCTATTCCGCCACGAATCGGGGGATGCAAGGACTTTGGAGACGGGGCACCCTGGGCGTCGAGCGGCACCATGAGCTTCGGTGGCGCCAAACTACGAGTGTCCTCCGGGTCGGCGATGCAGCGCCGACGTCGCCGCTGTATCGCCGATAGCTCGGCGATGCATCGCCGATGAACCGCGATCCTCTGACCCCATCTACGGTAGGTTTGCGTCGTGTCGACCAGCGGCGACCCCAGCGCGGACGTTCAAGGTTGAACGCCGCCAGCGACCCAGAATCGATCGATGTTGAACGATCGGACGTTGCGGCAGCGGCCGATCGTTCAAGGTTGAACGATCCCTGCGGTGTCAAAAACCAACGCTGGGGTCGGCACGACACGAACCTGCCGTACTCGGACTCCATCTGGAAGTCCTCCACTGCTCCCACCCACCACACCGCGGGCGCGAGACCCACAGTGCAGCCAGGCTGCCCTCTTTGTGTGCGTGTGCCCTGCCGGCGTGCCACAGCAGGACCCCCCCTGGCCGGCGAGCGCCGGGTATGTGCACGTTGCGCAGGCGGCTGCCCGGCGGGGATCGCGATGAGATCGGAGGCGACGATAAGGTCGGATAGCCCAGGGGATGGTCCATGCTTTCGGCGCAGCTCCCGGGCGAATACATGTACTGCTCGCCCCTGGGCTATTCGCCCCTGACGTCGCCACCGATGAGAGCGGTCCCTCCCCCTGTGCTGTGGGCTGCGGCTCCTGCAGAGGCTTCGAGGTCCGCGTCCCTGGGTCTCCCTGATAGGGGCCTGAGCAGATGGGGTCGGAGGATCGCGCCGCATCGCCGATGCATCGCTGGCGTCGCCGACACATCGGCGATGCATCTGCGATGCATTGGCGATGTGGTGCGATCCCCCCATCTGCTCGGGCCCTTATCAGGGAGGACTCCATCGTTGCCGTGGGCCCGGCTCCTGCAGGAGCTGAGCGGTCTGCATGCGGCGTTCGATGCTCATCAGGACTCGGTACGATCGAAATGGGTAATTCCTTCGGCAGTTATTCATGAGAACCTTGCATGTCTTCGCAATGTCTTCTTCAGAGTGCATTGGCGTGCGCCAGCGTCTGGAATCAATGAGAAAGAGCCGACTTAGCGCCGACTAGCGTCAACTTAGCGCCGTCTTAGCGTCGAAGTGCGTCGGTTAGCGTCGACACTCATGAGCCAGCAAGATGGCATGGGAGGCTGTTCATTTTGAGCTGGACTCGCTGTCGGCGTCGCGCGGACGTTGTCCATTCGAGACAGAAGGACACTTGCCCAACAGCGGCCGCTGTCAGTTTTGGACAACACTTGTTGTTGAGCATTGTACCCATTTTTCCGTACCCATGTCGGGAGTGCAAGAGGACGTGGACAAGCACACGTTGGAGCTAACACGCGTTGTGAGGATCGTTGATATGTGAAGTGTTCGCCCCTCGTGATCCGATCCCTCCTACCCGCTGCTTTCCCGACGAGGGGGGGGAAGTTGGCGGAGGGAGAAGCGGCACCGCCGCCACCAGGGCCAGCCTTTCCGATGAGCTGGCGGTGGGAAGCGTCTCGCCGAGCGCGCTACGTACTTGCAAGGCGTCTACTCGCAGACGTCCGACAAAACATGTTTGTATCGATGTAGTGGATTGTACATCCCTGGCGGCGTACCCAGGCCATCTGCGAGCAGTTACTTTGCGAGTAATGGAAAGCGCTTGTCTAGCGCCACATGTCGAATCAAGAACATTCCCGTGACTGTGTCGTGGGATGCTCCGAGTTTGTGAGCACTCCATTGACGCGACGGAAGCATACACCCAATGCGCTGACGAGGAAAAACTTTTCCAGGGCAAGGGTCTTCGGCGACTCGTGCAACGCCGCTTGAGGACTCCCAGCCTTCAGCATCTGTACGACCGGTGGAGGAGCTACCCCCCTGGACCCTGTCCTTCCTATCTGCGCTAAATAGCTATATGCGCTAATCGTATGCGCGAATTAGTACTGATTCGCTCTTACATGAGTAGCGCTGACTCCGCTCTAATTAGGGCTGACGATTAGCGTTGTTTCTGGCTGGTTCCATGGGGATCGCGTATCATGCATGCGTCTGTGAGCACAGCCATGATGTTCGTATATCGTTTGCTGTTGTCTTTCTCCTCTTCCCCCTTCCCCCCTTCGCCCGCCCGCCCCACCTCCTCGCTTTCCAAAAAATCGCCTCAGGCCGCAAGTTGACGCATGTATCAACAATAATCGTTAGCCCCCTTCAGCAGGGCAGCATCGCGCCCGCTGTCCGAAGGCATTGCGGCTCGAGGGCCACCGCGCGTGCAGCGTTTTCGGTTCACCGCCATGCCCCGCGCGAGGCGCGAGCTCTCGGACCACGACCTGCAGGCCATCGTGCTCGAGCGCGTCGCCGAGATCGAGGCGATGAAGACGGAGCAGGGCGATGCAGAGTACACAATCAAGGACAACATGGGCTTGATGGGGTCTCTGATGAGCGTCACCCGCAGGGTGGGTCACGTGCCGCTCACCAAGGCTATCTTGGCCAAGACTGTGCTCGCGAAGGAGCAGGCGCACAAGCGCGGGAAAGCGATTTCGTACGCTGTGAGTTACGTGTGCGCCAAGGAGCGCAACATGGCGACAGGCGACCCCCCATGTCAGGATCCTTTTGCGGGGGGGGGAGGAGGGGGAAGGGGGGGGGGAGGAGGAGAGGGAAGAAGGGGAGGAATACGAGGAGGAGGAGGAGGAGGAGGGGGGGGGGAGGAGGAGGGGGAGGGGGAGGAAGGGAAATGGGGGAGGAGAAGGAGGAGGAGGAGGAGGAGGAGGAGGAGGAGGAGGGGAGGGGGGGGGAAGGACGGAGGACGAGTTGGAGGAGGAGGAGGAGGAGGTAGGAAGAGGGGGAGGAGGAGGAAGAGAATGTAGTGGAGCAGGAGGAGGAAGAGGAAGAGGAGGAGGAGGAGGCGGAGAAGTGGGAGTTTGGGGAGGGCGGGGAGACGATGGAGAAGGCGTAGCGTGACATTGGCGTTGGCAGAGAGGGACGGGATGCGCGGCGCTGGCCGCGTCGACAAGACCAAGAGGGACGGGCAATCCAGTCGTCGCTCGCTGGTTCTTCTGAACCGTAGCCGTCTGCTCAGGCCTCTTTCTTTTCCACGTCGCTTTGGGGTGAACCCATGCTCAAGGGGAAGATGCGCCAATCGTGGGCGAGGCAGGACGACGGGTCGCCGTCGAAGCGCCTGCGCGTCGCCATCAGGGATTCATTTTTCGAAAACAGGCAGTCAGCGCGGGAACTCGGGCATAATTTCTCGACACCGCTCGGCCAGTTGCTCCCCGGTCCGTTCGGCGATCTCACCGCCGCCGCGGTGCGACGCGGCGGAGGCAAGAACGTCGCCAGAGATTTGAAGAGGAATTTCTCGAAGGCGCGCGAGTGGCCTCCGACATGCGCGGCCAAGGTGGGAACGCGGAACCCGAAACTGAACAGAGAAGTGCGTTCAGATATGCGTTTGTTTGGCTGCCGCGCGAAATGTGTTCAGTCATGCGTTCGCATTCGGATGGGGCGAAATTCTTTGATGCGGAAGGTTTGGACGTCGAGGCGAAAACACATCTGTTGCGATGCCAGGCGGCGACGGGCGCAGAGACCCTTGTACCCGTAGGTCTCTGGACTGATGGCGTGCCAAACAATTTCGACAGGAGCGATTCAGTCGAACTCGTTCAAGTAAATCTCCCAGGGCTGAGTGGTGACAACTCGATTTTGCGGGTTCCTGTGGCAGCTTTCCCCAAATCCCGCATGAGTTCAAACGCGTGCGACGACTGCGTGGAGATCGTGCGGTGGTCGCTTTCGGCAATGGCACGCGGTGCCTTTCCGTCATGTCGGCGCGATGGCGCCGCTTGGCAAGCGACAGATTCGCGCCGCAAGCGTCGCCCCAACAAACCGTTGGGCTTCCGGGGCGTTCTGGCGGGTGTCAGAGGAGATCGGGCGAGCTACAAATGCACGTTCGGGCCCCCTGCTTGGAACGGGGGGGGCGGCCGCTGCCGGCTGCGCGCGCGCGCCCGATCAGGCGCCGCGCCCCAAGGTTTGACCGTGAATTACTTCCTTTCTTCCGCCCGCGCCCTCCCAGCCCGTTTCTCTGCCCCCCGGGGCAGGGGGGCGGGTTGGCGCGGTGGGCGGGGCGCCGCGGAAGGCGGCTGATTACGTGCATTTGTTCCCCCGCAGGTTGGCGACGCGCGGGGGGGCGCGCCATGGCGGAGGGCGCATCTGCCCAAATCTGAACTTATCCTCTGGAACGCGCGCAGCGGATGCGTGCCGTCGCCGTTGTTGTCGGCACCCTGCGTGGATGACCTTTCCTTGTTTCGAGTGGATTGGTTGCGTTGTGTGGACCAGGGCGTCGCTTTGGATTGGCTCGGATCATTGATGTGGTTCCTTCTAAGTGACAGTAAATACTATGGCGGCGGGAATCGGGCCGAACGCCTCAACAGGATGCGGTCGTCAATCCAAGCCCATTACGACAGGAACAAGACGGACGACAGGCTCCACAAGCTGACGCTCTTGATGATCAAAAAGGCAAGCCGCAGGAGCGCCCCGAAACTAAAGGCCATGGCGGGCGCGCGCAGGGCTCTGGACGGTTGGGCGCGGGAGGAATGCAACAGATTGTTCAGCGGTGGCAGCGAACTGG